ATTTCCAAATAATTAGAGTAACTAAATTAACTAGCAACTCCACGTAGGGAAAAGAAGATCAAAATCTCCACTCATTCGTTATACGTTTTATGTGCACACAAAACTAATTTCTGCCTCGTATCTGAGACCCCTATCGTATCTTACACTCCATTTTCTCTTAGGTAAGGATATACAATGCAACTTTAGCAAAGGGATCAAAATTAGATGGAAAACATTTAAAATGCAAATTTAGGATCATGGTATTAATATGAAAATAATGTCTTCAACACATCCTAACTTCACCCCGTTTCTACGGATCCACCAATTCTTCACAGATTAGATGTGCCTTCTTTACATCTAAATCTCTAGGATGTTAAAAAGAAAGCCCTTCGTTTTCATGCTGCCTATGTACAGAATTTGTTTTCAAACGGCAGCAAAGGTGATTATAACTGTATTCTTCTGATAAAAGAACTGACAGCAGGCTTTAGAGATCAAAATTCGCAGCATATGAAAGCATTTAAAATCCAAGTAGGTGGTTAATCACTCTACAAAAAGGTGAATTTCTGACACCCAGCTTAAAAGATACAAAGGAACACAAGGACTTAAATGCCACCCAGTTGAAGCTGGGACTCATATAAATACAACTCACGTTCTCTGCCCTTCGGGCTCACTGGCAGGAGACGGTGCCCTCACCTGCTAAGGCCCTCTCCACAGACTCATTTGGCTGGGGGGGGGGGGGGGGGGGGAATAAAACTGTTAAAAAAAATAATTTGACGATTTTCAGACCTTAGGAAAGAATATTATATGTGTTACTTCTAAAGCAGAAAGGGGATTCCGTTACTGAAATAGAGGGTCAAGGAACACAGTGATACAGCAAACAGGTTGACATTAGGGATGGTGGGAATACTACTTTCATTCCCCGGGTCCCGGAAGTGACGTTTGCAAGCATCACCAGCCACCGGGCTGTGGTGACCCATATTGAGGTGCACATTCTTCACATTTATTCCTTCTCCTCTTTTGAAAAAGCCTCTCAAATCAAAAACTTTGATGGGCCGTATCATGTCATTCAGAAACAACGCGGGCAGGTTTCGGAGAACCTAGAAATGACTAACTTGGGCTCATGCTGTGCGTTGTTTCAGACGCCTCGACCCTCCTAGAGCCGAAGATGGGACTGAGTTCTAGGACAGAAGGAATGCAAGCGAGAAATAGGTCTCAGGAAGGTCTGGAAGCCTCCCTCGTCCACGCGCGAGGCCAGGCCAGAAGACGGAAGTTGAGTTTTTTGCATGCCCCCCTCAAAAAAGCCAAAACAAAACCAGAAACACGTTGAGAACCAATATTCCGCCACTTTCAGAAATAAATTTAAATGTAAGATTAATGTCTTTTGTAATATGCCATGCACAACAGCAAAAAGAGAGTCTAATTTGAAATTGAAGGGAAAATATGGACTTTCCAACTTATTTTGAGGTGTTAGAATATGTGCGTTCAGATGCCAAGGAAAGAGAAAGCGTTTGCATCTCAACAAATCAATAATCAATTCAGTCTTAATCAAACGTTACTTTGAATTCCTTTTTATACCGGATGTCCTTCTTACTCTCTTGTTCCATTCTACTTTAACTGACACCAAGAAAGGGACAAAGCGTAACAAAAACCTGGTTAACAAAAATATATATCTGTCTTCTTAGCTTCTGGGCATAGAAGTAAATTTATGACAAATTTAATACTAGCTTGAGAGTAACTAAGCCCAATTATAATTATCTTGCTGGGAAGAGAAATTAATTAAATGTCCCCGTGATAAAGACCCCACAGCAAACCTAGAGTAAACACACGTCTGGCGGAGGACAGGCGCTTGCAATAAAGGAGAAGAGAAGGGAAAGGCAATGGTTAGCGCATCTGTTGGGCCAGTAATGGGACGAGGTAATGTTTAAGAGAACACAGAGCGCATTACGCTGGGAATGAGACTACCTGGCAGGCAGAGCCCGCCGCGTCCCTAATTCTCCTCTTCAACTTTGTGATTTGCTAATGTGAAACACATGTCTCCCTTTTTGCACCAAGTTCAAATGGCTCTGGAATTCCAACCGTGCAGCTCAGCGACTGAACCAGAACAAGGGGAGAACTTGTCAGGATTTAAGAGCTTTCAGCAAAGCCCTTCAATTGCAGCCAGCACCCTATTCCGCGGAAGGATATCAATTATAGATAGTGACTTGCTTTAGCAGGCAGTCGGGCCTGTCAGGCCCTAGATAGACAACCATGAAGAATCATGAATCTTTCTATTAACTTTAAGAGGGGGAAAAAGAATGGGTCATGGCTATAAATAAGGCAGAGCATCAGAATGGTTTAACACCTTGCCTCTTGGTCGCATGGAGCATGAAAATTCAGCTAATTCACAAAATGCCGTCTCTCCAAGGAGAGCCACAGGAATGGAAACAGTTAAGACTTCCCTCCGTCCTTAAAAAAAAAAAAAAAAAAAAACTAGGGTTTGCCACTGGTATTTTTTCCACCTGCCACCAAAATAATTAGGTGGATATGGAGCTATTCCTTCAATCAGCAGAGACCAAAGTGCTAGTGCTATCCCAGGTCACTGCTGATGCAACCAGATAACACCCACCAGAAGGAAGGTACTTGCATGTCATGCAAAGTAAAATCGACTTAAACGCACACAATGGGAATCTCCGCACTTCAGGTAAAGAGTAAAAAGGTGGAAAATAAGTGACATGCCCTAGTGTTTTTATTTAGGTTGTGGCCAAGTTATAACTGTAAGCCACTTAATGTACATAATTTATCTCAGACTAAAATTAACATCATAAAGGTACTACATTGGATTTTCTCCTACTCCTGACATGAATTCCTTCTAGCTGGTTTGGAATCAGAAACTTCCCCTGCATGTGGATTCAGTCAGATTTTTTACGATAAGACATACAACACAGTGGTCATTCAAGTTGATCGTTTAAGCAGATTTACCGCAAAACTACTCAGGTCTCTGGTAAAACATCATCACTCCCTAAAGCATTTTGCCACTGAGATTAAATACACCTACAAGAGTCACTGTCTCTTAAAATCTTTCGCATTCAGTAGGTAGCAGAAAGGTTAAAAACGCTACATCAAACCTGGTCTCTAATGAGGAACACAATTCCTTTGAAATGTAGACTCCAAATAAGCTCTTGCTCCATCCCGCATCTGGTAACAGCTGAACCATAGTCACAGCCCTCCTTGGAGAGTACAATGACTTATCCTCAGAAAAGGCACCATGAGACAGTGTCACCTCTCAGGAGGACATTTTCCAAAGCAAGCAGCTCTGGTAACATCTCGCTCACGATGGCAGTTTTCATGCAAACCGTTCCCCTCATGTGGGTTATTCACTCCTTCTATCACTAAGGGTATCCCTGGCATACTTCACTCTTCGGGAATATCTCCCTACACTAGAAGAAAAATTCCAAACTTTTTCTTTTCCCCCTTTGGTAGGACCACGTCTGTGGCTTCCATTAAAAGTTAGCAAGAAGAAAGGGCCATTAAGCAAGGCTTGGCTTAAAAATAACACTTGCCTCAAATTAAAGAGAAAGAATCGAATTAAGTTCATGGAAAAATCTGGAAATATACCTTAATTAAAAACATTTGACTTTCTAGGTTTCTTGCTGTGCTGAGAAATCTATAATTCTTCCTACACAATTACAAGGAGACATGATTAAGAAAGAAATGTGGGTTGGGGGGAGCCCTGCTGATGTCATGTGAACTCCTCAAAACATTCTGTACCTAACGGATCACAAATCCTGGCAAAGGGTCTATTTAACACTTTGCCGTGATGACAACGTGTGGAATACATCACAGAGGAGGAGCCAACGCAGATGACACCCTGGAGAAGTTCCTGCGGACGATGAAAAATGTGGGATGTGTCAAGAATTGTATAATTTTAGCGTTTAAATGGAGAAGGGTTATCAAGAAATATGGGTCATCTAAAATTAAAAGTTACTAGAAAAGAAGAGACAACGGGGCAAGTATGTGCGGTGTGTGCGAGTGGGGTGGGTGGGGCCCTGCTTCTCTGTCGGATCTTCTGTCACAGGACAAGCGGGTGAACCGGCCACACATAGCAAGACCATCCGTAATGCCTCGATGGGACCCTGTGCTTGTGCACAGGAGGGTGTGAGCCTACGGCTGTCTAGTCTCGATGATCAAGAGAGAGAGACCCTTCCATCTCAGTTGCTCCCGGTCCCATCAGCTAAGGAGACTCCTCTGGCGTGAAAGAAAGTACCAAATCAAATGAAGCACTGGCAAAGGAAAAACGCCTCATCAGGTACATGCACATGGGTGTGGGGAGCACACTGTGTTATTAGAAATAAAACCCACGGGGACAACACTTCTGGACCTGGCATAGTAAGACGAAGTGTGGATCTCAGTCTGACCATGCTGCAGGTTTCAAAAATCCACGCCACTGGACACATTTAAAAATACACATCACTTTTTCCATGGAATTACCCACCCTGCAAGCGTTGGCCTTCAGTCAAGAAACTGTGTTAATGGCTTCCCCAAGCACCTACCTATCTCACGCAGAGTACTAATTGCTGCATAAAATCCTGGGAGGTTCCTTGGCCTTGAGGGTTTGGAAGAAGGCAGAACAGAAGAAAAGGAATTCCCCACCTCTACAATTTTTTTTTTTTTTTCCCTACCGTGGCTGGGTCTAGGAGAGGAGAATCAAACTTGGTTAAAAGGTTAATAATAATTCATGTCCAGCTTACTATTACTCAATAACCATCAAAGACGCAAACTCAAAATAGTGTTTTCTGGCTTACAGGATCAGAGTCATTACGCTCTCTATTGAAGACTTTATTGAATTTTACACTAAGCTTTAGCTGACTGAACAGGTCAAGCACCATGGCTGAGTTTTCTTTATTCTCAGAAAATCATAAAGCCCTCTCCAGTTTGCAGCGCTGCTAGCTAAGAAACCTGACTCAGCGCAGGGTCAGGGAAGCCGACACCACAGGAAAGGTCACATAGTTGTAAAGCCCACTTCCCGAGTCCCCCCGACTTACGTGCACAAGCTGTTCCTGGGTGTCAAACTCCCGTGTACAGCCTTCCCAGTGGCAGTTGGTCTCATAGATGACTTCAGGCTCCTGTTTGCTTTCGTCTTTGTCGCCTTCCTCCTTCACCAGGGTTGTTCCTTCCAGCTGTTCCTGGTGGGGGGGGGGAGGCGGGGAGGGAGGAGAGAGGGGGAAAAAAAGATCAGACACAATGGAAGGACAGATAAAAGATTAAAAAAAAAAAAACTGATTGCATGGGTCTTCCTCCTGAGGCAATTTTTCAGGGAAAATAAAATAGAGCCCAGGTCTAGCAGCTGGATTTTATGGACAGAAGAAGTCAAATGTACGGAATCATTTGTGTGCGTGTTTTCCGATTTACCAAATATATCTTCAGAGATTGTTAATGTGGGATTAAAAACAACAGTCCCAACCGTAATGATGATAAGAAATTGAGGCCAAACTTTGCCCCTGAATACGAGAGAGAAAAAGAAATTAAAATGTCATCCCATAAGAGAAGCAATTAAATTAGGTCATGCAGTCTTTAACCAAAAGACTGGCCTTTCTCTTTCGGTTAGATTCTTTTTCGTGTATTAATTTGTTGATTCTCATATTTTGGAATCAGGGCAATGGTTTACCAGTAATTCTAATTCTGCCTTCCCCTGCCATTAGAGGCTGTGACAGGCACTTTCTGGGTTTTAGAGGGATCATGTCTTCCTGGTTCAATCTCTGAGCTCCGAGGATACGGCTTGCTGCCCAAGAACCACAGCATCTAAATCTTAGCAGCTGAGCCTTTTCTACTGTCCGAGGCAGCTTCACAGCAGTGAAAATGCAAACAATTTCCAGAATTCTGGGAGATGACTAGGTGCACAGATTTGGGATCTCATCTGGGGCAGGATGACAAAAACTGCATACGAGCATTTAGGTGTAACCAGCAAGGCTGTTGGCCAGGAAAATTCAAGGAGAAGGATGGATTTCAGAACCTATGACACCCATTCATTCCATCCTCAAAGTGCTCACTCGAAAGGAAATTTGGGTGGAGGTAGTCTGAGCTGGGGGCTGGAACAGCCCGGATGTAGAAAGGTCCAGATTCTGTGGACGTCCAGACTCCTGTCCAACCCCTATTTCCAGGAATTAATATTCACTGACCTCCTTCCTGTGTCAAGCACAGGGACCCTAGGAGACGGTATTATAGGCATAATAAACACATTTTAAAACGGAAACTCAGAGGGTCTAAATGCCTTAAAGAAGAGACGAGACTGGACCTTCAAAATCTGTTCTTTCAAGACGCTGGGTAAAGAAAGGACCAGAATCTAATTGGCCTTAAGTTAGGTAAGTTGTGCCTTGATCCATCCCTCCATTCTCCAAGCCCTCCTGGCAAGTGGGAAAAGGCAAAATGGGAACAAATAAGAACATGATCAGTGTAAGGAATATCATCAACTCTGCCTAGCTCTGGCTTAGGGCCAGGAGTTCATATTTCGGGGCCCGAGACCAGGGCTCAGGACTGAAGCTTGGTCCCTATCAGTGATCAGGAACAAATTAATCCAACCGCTTATACCACGAGCTACAGTTTATCTCCCCCCGCCCCCCAACAGCTTCCTGCAGCGTTTCTGAGTTAGAGAATCAAACGGAGTCAGACTCCATCACTGGCCTCCTACCAAATTTGTGGGGATGGCCAAGGCCAAGGCCAAGAACACAGTGGGTATGGAAATTCTGTGAGAGACCTCAGCTTGGAGGGAGCCACAGGCTGGTAGCAGAGCCCTGGTGCCTCACCTGCTGGCCCCGCGGCCCCGGGCTGGGCAGGTCTTCGTCGGGCTTGATCTTGGACCGCTTGTTATGCATCAGGTCACCCGTGCTACTTACCGCGGACTCACTCGTCGGCTTGTTCTGGTGGTCACATTTGCGGGGACAGAGACAGAGACAAAGATTAGGTTTCCAAGGAGCGGGACCAGAGCTAAAACACACAACTGTAGACGAGCAGGCCAATGTGGCATTAGAACAAGGACTCTGGTAACGCTCCAATCCCATGACAGCAGACCTCAGAAAATGTGTCTGAGGCCAGAAAACACAACCATGAGGCAGCTCCTTGGTTCCACTCAGGAGTAGAAATTCCCTGTGGCCTCTAGGGGCGCCTGGGTGGCTCAGTTGGTTAAGCATCTGCCTTCAGCTCAGGTCATGATCCCAGGGTCCTGGGATCAAGCCCCAAGTCGGGTTCCCTGCTCAACTGGGAGCCTGCTTCTCCTTCTCCCTCATCCGGCTACTCCCCCTGCTTGTGCTCTCTCTCTCACTATCTGTGTCAAATAAATAAATGCTCCCTGCTCAGTGGGAAGCCTGCTTCTCCTTCTCCCACTCCCCCTGCTTGTGTTCCCTCTCTCTCTGTCAAATAAATAAACAAAATCTTTAAAAAATAAATTAAATAAATAAATAAATAAATAAACAAACAAACAAACTCCTGGTGGCTTTTAAAAGCTAGAAGAATAGAGCCGGGGGCCTGGGCTTTCATGAGCTCCAACAGTGTATTTAGAACAGAGTTGTGAGGTGGGTAGGAAACTAAAAGAAACGATTTGCAACGCTCTTTATTTAGAGGATTCAGACTCTTCTCTGAGCAGGATTAGTGAGAAGGTTAAGAGCAGAGGGCACGGCGTGGTTTGTCCCGTGAAGTTATCACAGGATTCGGAGTGCCAGTGGAGAGTCACCAAACGAGAGTGACCCCTTCACGCGGCGTACTGCCCTGAGTAGGGTTACAGACCCTCATCAAGCAGCCCGCTGTCCCACCGAGGAAGAAACGACTCTGGGGGAGGAAGCCACTGCTGAATGAGGAAGACACACATGCCCACTCATCAAACCTGAAGACTACGGCCCTGGGTTAGGAAGACAGCGGCATGGAAGCCACGAGAATGCCAAGGTAGTGGGCCCGCTTGGAGCTCCTGGGCTGGGCATGGCTCTCCTCTACGATTACAGGACGGATCATCAAGCTGTGTCTCTCACCTGCGAGGACTCAGAAGGGCCTGAGCTGACCTGGACGGGGTTCAGAACCGTGGGGATCCCAGGAATAGGCCTCTGTGTTGGAAACGTTGGAGCAGGGTGGATGAGCGGAGGGCTGTGTCCAAAGGCCGAGCCTAAGCTCTGTTGTCGGCTTAAGATTTGTTGATGCATATGGAGGGACACGGGTGCAGAAGGGTAGGTGAAGCTCAAGGCAGGGCTGCAGGTGGGGAAGAAAGAACAGAAGGCTCTCATTTACACAGGACACCGAGATTACTGCGAGCACACCAGCTTTGCATCATTACACCTGGTGCTACCATCCCAGATGAGAGCAGGTCTCCCTGTTGAAATCAGAAGGCAAAAACGGTTGCTGATGAACATCTCGGACACTTCCAAGAGAAACGCGGCCACTGAGGCAAGACACGCGTGTGCCTGCACCCAGACACACAGACCTGAAATAAGGCTCAGCATGACGGAAACAAAAGGCGTCGGCTCAATAACAGCTATTTATTGCAATAACAAACTTTATATAAAAAAGAGAATGGGTGACTACATGCTTTATAGTACTTTTATTGGCTCTCAGGGCCGTATGTTTCCGTGCATGGAGCAATTCCTTTAATCTCGGCTCACGCTGCGTGCTTTCATATGTCTCCAGATCTTATTACAAGAGGAAGGAAAATCAATTGGTTAAATGTGTTTTGAACACCATGCTTGTCATATCACTCATTTGTTTGTAAAGATGGAAAGCTTGGTTCATCCAGAATGCCACCTAAAGAATTTCCATCAGTGCCGTCTGGTTACAGAAGCTGATGGATTAACCTCTCCTGGCTGAAATCGGTGATCAATGGGCTTCGGTGGAGTAATATTCCAATGGGACAGCATGGCTCCCTCTCCCAGCTAAATAGCATTAAATGTCTATGAAAGCCCATTATACATGCTAATGCCTGGCACCGCTTCATTATGCCACAGCACCGTCCAGCCTATAGTGAGTTTCAAGGAAGCCGCACAATTACCTAAAGATTTCTCGACGGGTAGATGGTGTCAAATCGTTCTTTGTGTTGGCACAGTTTAGGAATCAAATCCCCTTAAAAGAATGAAGTGTTCTTGAGGAATTTGCCAATGGCTTAAAAATGCATGAAAAACTATAATTGCATTCACGATCATTTCCTTCTTAAAAATAATCAGTGAAAAAAATATATATATATTTCCTCTATCCTGCTGTGTAATACCCAGAAAGAATCGGGGTTTCTTGTAATGTCAAAGGTAGAATTCATGCAAATTTCCAACCTGGTGGGTTAATTACTATTGCTGGTAAGCGCATTAACTGAGAATATAATAATTACAATAACAAAATTCAAACCACTTCAACAACTTTAAGTAATAATTCCAAAGATATACTCTGTTCATTAACGTGACTCCACATTTTGCCTATTTGACTACAATCCATGAAAGTCGGCTTCAATGGGATTACATTACTATTATTCCTACAGAGAACCTTGCATTACAATAGCTTGCCCATTTAAGACTGAATATCATTAAAGAATACCCTCGGAGAATTTCATCCAGCTTGGAGGAACTCTCCTTTCATTCTGCATTGTAGTTCTGTAATAAAGGCAAGCAGAAACATGGTGAAAACAGTCATTGTTCATGGCAAGTTAGGGAAAAATCAGTAATAATATTCTGTTTCTGCCATGCTATAGTTTCTGCCCGTGTTTCCGAAAGCAACCGTGAATGATTACAGCTAGACTCCACTAAGGTAGCCGTGTGGATGATTGATAGGGCATTAATCAAAAGATGCATATCTGCCCCAGAATTTGTTCACAAGCTTTCTTCTAATAGCTGATTTCATGTTCACTGAGCTCTATGCCAGTTTGTCCAATTTATTTTTCAGCGTACAAGCCATTCATCAAAAAACACAATGATTTAACACCCCCACCCCTTCCCTTTTGGTGAATGGGTATTACTGAGTATAACTACCTTATTCTACTCATTAAAAAAGCAAAAACCCAAAGACCCCACTACACATGTATTTACAATGTGACACAGAGTTTGCAGGAGCCTCCAGACACCTTCCTGTAGTTTCCTGAGCCCACATGATCGGGCAGGCATGGGAGCGGACACTTTTAATTCCGGAAGGCACAACATTTGGGGGCTCAGAAAGTCAGGACCTGACTAAGAATCGAGGCCACTAGAGAAAACATTTCAGAAGGCAGAACACGCCCTCAGTTGTGTATATAAGCAATTTACAGATCAGGCAGGATGGATCCAATTTTACTTTTCAAAAGACGTCAAGAGAGAAGGAAAGCAAGGCCCAGCTTCCTGCTGCAGGCTCCATCCTCAGCTACACTCGGTCTGACCTCAGCTGACATCGGGAAGGGCAGGAACAGCTCTCGACACATTTGGGGAACGTCCCATCCCCTTTCGGGGCTGCTTTCTTGCTGATAAAAGCAGGTGCCAGGAATAAGCATTCTCCAAAATCCATGTCAACTCTTCGCTTCCAGGGGATATGATGAGAACAGGCAGAACGGCTGAGCGTGTTCAACCTCACTGCTTATTCATAAGGAGCCGGCTCTGTCCTCCACATGTAAGGGGCGGGCAGTGGCAGGCCTGGTCCCCACCTGCAGAGCCGGTGCTGCGGGAAGCTGGAGGCTCATCCAGATCACAGAGCCTCCGCAGGACTCGATGACACACATTGTTCTTGGCTCTGTCACAGCATCAGCAAGGATCGGGAGCCAAGGCTCCTGCTCTCAGAAGACCCCACGTGGAGGCGGAGACAGAGTTTGTAAGGAAGAAGCGGAGGATGGGCAATGTCCCGCCACCGCGTGGGGATGTCGGCAACAACAGAAAGAACACGTGGAAAGAACGGATGGGGAATTCCCACGGGTGGGGAGTCAGGGGTGAGACACCATTCCTGCTCTGATTCGAAGTGGCCCTGAGAAGCTCCGCCTCGGGAGGGGGGGTGGGAAGCAGGAGAGCCCCCGGCCCACTGGTGCTGCCGTGTCCTTCCCGAGCTCAGCACAGTCACATCCTTTCTGTCAGCTGGCTCTTAGCTAAATGTCACCTCCTCGGACAGCTAGGCCTTCTAAGACCATGGCCCCAGCAAAACGAGCCCCCTGCACGATGGGTCCTCTCACGTTCTACTGTTGGACGCTTCTGTTCCCGAGCCACACCCGCGCTCTCTGAAGTCACACCCTGTCTCTGTCTCGACCATGAGGTCCCCATGAGCTGACCCTCTGGCGCCGGGGACACTGCCCAGCACACAGCAGGCCCTCAATTTGAGTCCGTGAGCAACCGAATCTCGTCTTCAGTGCATCGGTGCCCACTTAACTGCCGCAACAAATTACCACAAACTTAGTGGCTGGAAACGACACACACTTACTATCTCCCTGGCTCATGAAATAGTACTGCGTTCTTCTGGAGTCTCTTGCAGGTTCGAGAGGCTGCCCGCATCCTCTGCTTGTGGCTTCGTATCACTGCGACCTTCTTCTCTGACTCTGACTCTGGTCCCCCACCTTCCTCTTAAAAGGATGCTTTTAATTACATCAGGGCCACCCGAATAATCCCCAGTAATCTCCTCATCTCAAACTCCTTAACATAATCCCAGGTACAAGATTCCTTTTGCCATGTAAGGTAAGGGGCTCATGCTTTCCTGGGATTAAGACCTGGACTTCTTTTGGGGCCTATCACACCAACAGTCAATTCAAAGAAAAACATGTTTTCCTCTGAAAACTACAATGGGACAATGTATCTATAAAACAGTCTAAACAAAGCTAGTGTCTAGACTGATGTCTTTCTACAGAACTTTAGCGGCTGAGGATAGTCTTTGCCAATTGCAGAGGTCAGAATTAAAAAGAAAAGATAAATCCTAACCTTTAGAAACCCTGAAAAAAAAAAAAGCTTCCTAAATAGTTCTTGTATTCATTCTATAATTTCCTAGAAATTAAAGTATTGATATTGTTGAGAATTTTTATAAATCTCTTCTGTGTCCTCTGAAGCAGGACACGGTCTAATTTAAAACTTGGTCTACCTGAGCTTTATTACCTCAAAGCCTTTTTACATTTCTGCTCACCCTATTCTTTCCTGTGGATCCCGTGCAGAAAGATTAATTTTATTATCTGATTTCTGGATTCTCTTCACTCAAAATCTAACATATTAAATATAATTTTGAAAAAATTTTTTTCAGCTTTCACTTTTCCAAATGACTATGGGAATGATGGAGTAACTTAAAACACACAAACATTTATGAATTATTTATCTATATTTAGTCGATGAGACTAGGAGAAAAAGTATCACATGGCCCCCATCTTCTCAAGCAATGCGCTAACAAGGTCGTAGGCCTCCTGAGACAACAATCCAAAAGTAAGTCTTATGAAGGAGAGGACAAAGAAGTGCTCAAGTCCAGAAGTCTGAGGAATATGGGTCCAACAGTCCCCAGATCCCACTGAGCCGTCACCATGGGATGTGCATTCTAAGCGACCCAGCCCAGACACAGTTTGCAACAGTATTTGGAAGAACTTCTAGAAACTAGTGATCCTTGCAAAACACTCCAAGAAATACTTTTCTAGAACAAGAGTTATTAAGCCAGAATAAATTGATTTCAATATTAATTTGCCCTTTACTTTTCTCAAGGGCAGAAAAGGAGAAAGGTGTGGATTTTAGGTCCTTGACTACAATATGGACAGTGTCCTCAACCACCGAATATAATTTCTATCCATTAGAACAGATTTACAGTTATAGAATTTTTTGCTTTATAAAATACCTTAAAGGAGCATTCCTCTGTGTTTGTTGACTCAGCAATAGAACTTTGAGCACATCGACATTAAAAAAAAAAAAACAAAACTACTCATGGTCAGTTCCCCCTTTATGCTCAGCTTTGAGCTGAGTTAACAGTGATCAACAAACTGTTGTCTGAGTGGGAACTGGTTATCCTATTTTCAAAGATTTAAAATGAAGGCTCCCAAAGTCTGAATCTTTGAAAAAGTTTTGATGTATTTATCCTTTATCAAAAATCAGAGGTAAAGTTTTGTCAATTCTCTTTTGCAAAGTATGGCCAAGTTTTGCAAATTGGGCCCTGTTTCTTAATGCGCAGTAAATAGCATAGTCACAACTCACCTATCTGGAAGTCTCCTATCTGGGAATCTCAACAACTACCCCCAATCTAGCTAAATTTGGAGTGTAAGAAGAAAGAAAATGTTAAGTGAAATAAATGTCCTAAAATGC